ATGTCTAAATGCACCAATAAAGTCTCAAATAACCCTGGCATAAGTCTCCTATCTAACCAGCACAAGATCATGACATGGACCCCAGGACAAGAAATTTTGGTGATGTAATGACGCCAGCTACTGACCAAAATCTAGATGATAGTCTGTAGGGAAGACACACCTACAATTCCCTATTGGTCCTATCAATTAGTGACGCGCAGAGAGTTTGGCCCTTTAAAAAGTAAGGACAAAGGGAAGATTGGGGATTCATAGATTCAGACATTCAAACACTCAACTCTTTGAACCACATTCAAACTTTTTCTTTGAAACACTTGGACTGCACTTAAGAAACAACACTTTCCGGACACTTAATTTTTACTATCACTTTTCTAAATTAACACATCTTCAGAACTCTACTGTCCATACAATTCTCTATACTTTATACTTGCATTCAATTCCTGGGACATATCTATACATCTGATTAGAAAATCTACAACCTAACTGGTAATTATGCTGGTTTTATTTAATTAATTTAGATAAATTAATTTTACTAATAGCAGGAATATATATCTGGATAAATCTTGGTCAGATTTCAATCATTAGAAATCTTAGTTAACTAAGGAATATATGGTTATAAAAATTCCATTCCTGCAGGTGGAATAAAAATAATATATTAACTGTAAAATTGTTACTATACCTGTATTTTTATATATTGATGTGTTCTGAAATAAGATAGTGAATCTTATTTAGGAAAGTTACAATTCGGCAAATGTAAAATCTGGTAGAATTATTCTTATTGGATGGTTCTAGGAATGGTTAAATGATCTGGTATAAATATTACTGTAATTGTAAATTTGCAACATAATAGGATATATTGCATATGAGGATTGTAGCCAGCAGTAAAAAGGGTAAATTCGGTGTGGTCTAACAGTCAACCTGAAGTTTTATTGCTTTTCACTGCACTGTTGTGTTCTGTGGAGTTTTGCCTTCTGTCTGTGAAGTTGGTTTCTAAACAGGGTCATATCATAAATCTTAATGACAACTAGTTGCTTTTAACCACAGTATTGTGTTTAAACCATTGCCATATTGTATGCCTATGTTATACTAAATATTCACTGATTATTGTCACGCATGTTACATATATTATATTCCGCCGCTGTGCAAGTTCCCTTTCCGGTTTCCCTCAGTGTAGATCGGTCGACAGCCTCTCGTGCCGCTCAAATGCACCCCGCGTGCCACAGGTTGTCGACCCCTGGTTTAAGTGCTCATCCTTGGTTCCGATGGCTATTTTACAATGATCAGCATTACTAGAAGGGATTTTATTACCATAATAGGACAAAGATAACAAACCCTGGCACTGTTGGCAAGTGGATTGCTACGAATATCTACCTTTCCTTCTGTCAATCTATAGGTTTACAAACATCTGTATTGCCAGAGTGCATCCTCACAGGCCTGTTACTGTTTGTGCAACTACACATATTTGATATAACACTGGTAATTTGTTATTGATAGAATTATTCATAAAGTGCGAATTGTTGAAAATTCAAGGAATTTAAAATTTGAAGCCAAAACCACAGAATTGTTAAACTGAATTGTTACAAAATGTAATCCGCGGTTTTAGGACTTCTACTTGGTCCTAAAATCTCAAATCCACTTTAAATTCTCAGCTACTCATATGTTAATTATAAAACAAATAAAAATAACACGTAATAATGTACATTTTTATTGATTAAAAATATACAGTATTATATATAGATTTTTATTCTGGGTTCTCATTAGTAATCGGAATCAACAACGGTTTATGAAAAATTCCAGATGTTTTATTCTCCCCTGGAGAGCTGTGTACACTAATCACCTCCAGGTACTGATTACATGCGGATGGACTATTCTAAAACCTGCAACGAACTACACAACATACAGCTGTATTTAAACACAGATGTGAATGTATGTATGTATAGAAAGATCAGTTACTTCCAACATAAAGACTCTTGCCTACTCAGAGATGAAAAAGATAACATTTTAATGAGACCGAAAGAAAAGACAGAAATAGCATTTTAACAAGAGGTAGGAGTACAAATAAAAAAAAAAAGACTATCAACACAATTTTTCATCTCAAAAGGCGAAACATGCTGAATATATACTGATAATAAGAAACATCTTTCAAGTTCCAAGCAACAGACTTTGCATAAACAGAGTTATCTGGTTTCTCCAATACCACCATTCTGACAAGTGATCAACTGGAAATAGATTGTTACCTGGTAGTGGGACATTCTAACTGTCCCACTACCAGGTAGCAATCTAACTATTAGATGTACATTTTAATGGTCTGTAGGAGATGGTCCAGGAGATCAATCTCACAAACCTGTAGCTAAAGAAGAATTAATATATATATATGTATTGTATTGAAGTGCAGCTGGCCCGGATACATTAATTATTTAAGGGACACTTTGTTTTCCCATCTGTCATTCACTTGCATTGTGCTGGCTTTCAATCATCTCATACCTGCAGAGTCATTTCAAATGCCTTTTCAACACTATCACCCTTTTATATCACACGTCTAACTGCGGAAACCATGAAAGCTTTATATAATTAGATAGAGATAGACAGTTCGGAAAGCATTTAAACAATGTTTATACCAAAAAGGTGCAGACAGAGAGGGAGCGTATTAGAAAATTATGGGAAATAATGCCAGTGAGCGGTTCTGGAGTCACAATAAACCACAAGACGGACATTTGAATGGTTTGTGAATGTATCCAGAACCCTGTGATGGTATTATTTTCTTAACATACCATTCAGCATTGTGAAACATTTATATTGGATGATAATGCGTAGGTATGTTTCTGTGTCCTACATCTCAAGGACAGTCCCACTTGGACACACTAAAATCCAGGTAGGTGGAAGGTATGCTAGGCCTTAAGAGAGACACAAGGAGGTAGTTTGAGTAAAGAGACACAAAGAGAGTTGGAGAGATGTGATGAACAGGAAGGACAAAAATGCAACACAATATACATTTGCATTAACAAACAATCCAGCAGCACAGGGGTTAAACTCCACAAGTGCAGTCTTTTATTACACATACAGACTCCAGGCACTTTGTTATTTGAAGCCTGACTTTGTGTAAATATGTCAGCATTCTTAAGGGTTAAATAGATGACAAACCACTGTATGTATGTGGTTAATAACATGCTATAGGTAAGATGACAGCAACTATCCTGGTGAGAATAAGTAGTCCACTAGTTGTGGTTAACCTGCCTACATTTCAGCAGCAGGTACAGGAAGCATGGTAAATATAACACTCCAGATGGCAGTGCCATCTTGTATCTAGAGCAAACATGACAAACTCGTGGGCCACAATGAATATTTTTGCAGCCTAGCAAAACAGGCTACTAATAGGGAGGTGGGGGCAGGGCCAATCCTGGGCCAGGAGATTGGGGGCGCCGCGAGTAGATGGAGTGTAACAGGGGGCCCAAGTGGTGGACAGCTTGCCACCTAATGGGTGCCCCCGGAGCAATTGATTACTGTTAAGACAGAGTAGGCACCTGCTCTCCCCTCATTGCAGGTGCCTACTCTGCTGAAATGTACCAGGCCGGTTCTTCTTGCCCCTCAGTGCTCACATGTGCAGTCTGTGGTGATGCCGGGTGCAGGAGCAGGAAGGGAGACCACCAGAGAGAAGATCCCCACTGGACCCCAGGGAGAGGCCACACACCAGCTCCCAAAGGTAAGGAGCGATCAGCAATAAATAAAATGATTTGTGTGTGCAAGAATGTGTAAATGTGGGTGTCTGTCAGTGAGTGTGTGTGTGTCAGTGAGTGTGTGTATATCTGTCAGCGAGCGTGCCAGTGACTGTGTGTCTGTCAGCGAGCGTGTCAGTGAGTGTGTCTGTCAGTGACTGTGTGTGTCTGTCAGTGTCGGTATGTTTCGATGGCCGCGACTGGACAGTGGAGGAACTGGAGGTGCATGAAGGCACGCAATGCCACATCACATTTTGACGTGATGTTGACGTGCTCTTCTTTCACATGGTTTCAAGGAGTAGGAGGTAGATCTGCTTTGGCACGGGGTGCGGACGGTGCCATCGGGGGTATACCAGAGGGCAGACTGCGGAGTCGGATACTGGGCCAGGGGTTTAATTGAGGTTGAGGTGGCTGGGACTTGGATTTAGAAAAGGGGGGGGACTGGGATTTAGTAGAGGGGGGTCCAGGTTTCCGTACAGGGGTGTGCTGGTTTTATTTTGATACGTGCTTTTCAAAATAAACCTACGTTTCAATGAAAATTTAATTTTTAGGTTTTTCTGCAGCCCACATAAACTGAAACCTTGTTTATTTGACCCGTGCTAGCCTTTGAGTTTGACATGCTTGATCTAGTGGGAAAGGGGAAAAAAGAGGACACAAATCTAGAATGATTTGTCAAGCATTGCACAGCCCCTTGCGTATTTCCATTATTGTTTGTTTATACCCAGGGATGCTAATTACATATTCCTGACGTATAATCACTTTTCTGGAATGTCCAATGAAGGTTTATAACCTTGTTCCACTGACCGCAAATAGAGTATTTGTAAAACAACCAATTATGTTTTATTGTTATGTATGATAAAATTAGCAACATCTTCTGAAATCCCCGGAATGTGCAATTTATTCACAATAAGCTGTTCATCATTTTGTGATGAGAAGGGAGTATCTTTAGAAGGGTTTCTTAAAACATTTGTTCCATCTCGATTTAGAATAACTCTTGCCATCTGAAAGCTACGCAGTGCATACAGATGATTCTTTACTCGCAAGTCTGATATTTTCGCAGAGAGTTGCTGTGAGACTGTAACTTCTTTTTGATTACATTTGTCCTGACAATTCAATTCATAAAACGAGTCCATAGTTTTACGAAACTGGCTGTCGTCATCTGCCACGGTTTCTTTACATTTCAATGTTGATGAATCTGGAAAGTAAAAAAAGATTATTAATTTCAGCAAACATGGAGTTGATTTTCATATTTGCAAACACACAGTATACTGAACGTTATCACTAGTGACA